TAGGATAAAACCTGACATGTGGGCTCTTGGGCTCTCTTGGCCTGATGGTTCATGGCTGGTCGTTTTGGCTCTTGATCGGTTTTCATCATGCTATTGAAGTCCAAGTCAGCAGAACGGGTAGGACAATCGAGTTAACTCGTATTGCTTTCTTTCCCCTTGGATTTTTCCTTTACCTTTCTCCCTGTAAATAAACCCATTATCGAACCTTTTGTGTTTCCACAGTATGATTGAATCTTAAGCACTCGGGTGAGGACCCACAGATAGGCAATCCAATTCGCATTGGGGTGTCCTGTGACAGTACTAAAAACATTTATTCTTTTCCCTGGGACTGAGATAGTAGACTTTGCTGGGAAACTATAATTCAGATTGTGGGGATCCAGCAATTTCAACATTATCTATTCATTCAGTTTCATGAGTTTTTCAGTGTTGTAAACAAGTCAGTCATCTTGGTAAGTTTAGTGGTTCCCACACATATGCAGACTCAAGGACCCTGGAATTTTGCTCCTGATACTCATTACTCCTGATACTCCTGGAAATGCTTTTATTTGCCTCTTTTAGCCAGCTCTTAATCTCCATCTCTATCTTCGAGATGATGTCTGTGTTCTTAACCCTCCCACTTTTTTTTTTTTAAGATTTATTTATTTATGCATACAGAACTGGGGTACAGGCCAGAGGTGCAGGGGCGGCAAGAGGCTTCACCAGAGACAGAGTGGGGAGCAGAACAGGCAGATCTACGAAGTAGACTGCTGAGGGGAGCAGCGGGCGGGTCAGAAGAGGTCTGCCGCGCCATGTGGTCTCCTCGTGGGCAGGCGGGAATCCAACTCATGCGGAAGTGGCTTTAGCTTCTCAGTGCTGTGCTTTACCCGCTGCGCCACCAGGGTGGGCCAACCCTCCCACTTTGTAAGAGCCTGAGTTAGGTCCCCTTCCTGTGGTCTCCCAACAAACACTAACTACATACCCTTTGTTCAGATCTTTTAAATGTTTCGATATCTTCCCCATGATTAACCTGTGAAGAAGACTGAAATGTACCATGTTCCCATAAAAGATACATGGAATCCTAACCCTTAGTATCTATAAGTGTGACGTTAATTGGAGATAGCTTATTTGCAAATGTCATAAGGGCATACTCCACTATGATGATTCCTAATCAAATATGATTGGCGTCTTCCTAAGAAAAGCAGAAACAGACCCATGAGAGAATACCATCACATGTCACAGGGACGCAGGATAACAATCTCTGAGAGGCAGAGATTGTCGCAAACCTGGGATTGTTCAACCAATAAGACACCCAGCAGATGCTAGGAAGAGGCAAGGTAGGATCATCACTATTAGGGTCCCAAGACTTTGACTTTGGACTTCCAGCCTTTTGAACAGAGAGGAAGTATCTGTCTGTTTTTTTGTTTGTAGTTTCTTTGTTTCAAGCCTCCCACTTTGTGTCACTTTGTTACAGCAATCCTAATTTGCAAACAATTTTGCATCTCTAGCAGCTAGCACAGTACCTGAGAGGTTCACATTCATATTCAGCACACTTATATTGAACTGAAATGAATGGTAAATCATTTCTAGAGATGGCAAAAATAGGCTAAATGTGTATTCCTGCAAAAGCTTACCCTTTAACTTCCTTATCACTTAGTGCTTCTCCACACACACACACACACACACACACACACACACACACACACACACTCACTCACTCACAACCCTGGCTACATTTTTACACAGTGTGACAAGATTTTTGGGTTCTTGATCCAGTCCACTATATCAGTATTCCTACTACCCACTAGTCTACTGTCAAAGTAGAGGTTATGCCACCTTCCAGGGATGGTCTGCTGTTGCTTTGATGTTGGGGAGCTCATGGCTGCAAGGCTGTCCTGTGGTGGGTGAGATGCTCAGATTTAAATCTCCCAGGAAGGTTTGGTCCCATTTGCCTAGAGAAAGGCAGCTCATGTTCCCCCAGGGTACAGTGCAAAAAGGATGCAGTGGGGATTCAAATGTACTGTTTTTTTTTGTTTTGTTTTGTTTTTGCAACTCAACCATTTCTTTCTTCACTCTTGTGATATCCATTTACACATTATCTATAGACTTTGTGGGAGAAACTTCCCTGTTTCTGTTGAACCTGAAATGATCTCTCAGGGAATTCTAAATGGGGAAGACCTGTGAGACCTTGTCCCAGATCCTTAATTTAGAGAAATGCAACTAGGCAAGGAAAGCTCAGCTGCCTGGCACAAGGTGCAGAACAGAACACAGGCTCCCACCTCCCAGTGCCATTTACAATCTGTGTTTTAACCAACTCATTGGCATGCACAAGAACGGCAACTTTGTTTTCAGAAATAGTGCATAATCTGAGAAGTAGCCTACCTTTTCTCTCCTCTTCCTTCCCTTCTCTGTCTACTTTTCTCCCTTCCCCATTCCCTCACCTTTCTTCCCTGGCATTTTCCCCTAAACCACTTTCACTAAGTGTCCTAAGTCACTAGCACTTAAGAGCATTTATTATATGCAATTAGAAAGGTATGTATGGTGTCAATATGATAACATCATATTAATGTATTTTAAAATGTTTGACAGCACAATGTGAAAATTATATAATTCAGTGCATACAGAGGTTTGCTTTTATTTCTATTGGGTTTTTCAAAACAAATAAGCAAAAAGACCTTTTTCTTGTTACTGCTTTTGACAAGAACATCAAATTTAAAGGAAATGCCCAATCACACTCAATCAAGCCCATCAACTGTAGAACACAATTCAGAGGCTCTCATTTCTTCAGGATAACATCAGCAAAACAGCAACCTTTAAAACCAAGTAACATTCATCTACAATCATAAACCCCAAGCAAAGTCTTTCTAAACAGAAGCATAGTGCTCCAAGGAAATGAACTCTATGAATTAGTCATATCCTCTGTGTCCATGTTCTTACATTATTTTTTCAGAATTAAAAACAATTAAGGGCAGTTTATATATATTTTTCAAGAGATTTTTTTTAATGATGTAAGGCAAGTCAATGTTAGATTCAATATTAAAATCATGATTAAAACATATTTAAAAATACACATGCATGGGAAAAGCACACATATAATTTACAGGGCAAAAGTCCCCAAATTCCCAATAATAAAATAGCAATTGTAAACTCTGAATTGTGATCTAGAAGGGACTTGGGCATTTTTCTTCATATATATTTTTCTCAATTTTGCTCTAATAAACATTAATTACTTCTTTGTGAAAAATACCATTGAAAGTAAAATATGAGCAGTACAGAGTATCAAATTAAAGTTTTATTGATATAGAGTATAATTGCACATTGGTTTGTTTGCTTCCTGAGTCTTGACTATTAGTCCTGGTATTTATTACCTCCGGCAAATCACAAAATACTCATGTTCTCTTTCCTTCTATGGAAGATGGAGATGAAAATGTGAGGATTAAAAGAGATATTTTTTGTAACATCTCAGCTCAGTTCCGACAGTGGTAGGTGTTGAGTAATTGATACCCAACTGGAACTGGTTACCACCTCTCCTAAGATTACCCTGCCAACTTGCCCAATCTTCAGGAGGCCCTGATCTACTTTACCTTATCCGTAGCCACATCCTTTCTTTAATTTATTGGTAAATTATGAACCAGGGACAAAGTATATCAGAATCACTTTGCAGAACACAGGAAAGTGCATTTACTGAATTAGAATTTCTAGGTCTGGGAAGTCTCTCTTTTTAACAAGAAAACCCAGAGATCTGTATGTTAATTATATATTGAAAATAATCAAGACCCAATGAGAAGTCTGGTTCTAGACTTCGACACTGTAAGTCATCACAACCATGAAGAGAAGACAGTAATATAATTTCTCATTATGCTATAAAACTAGTAAATAGCATATCATAAACATCCATTTTGGAGATGTGAAATATTATGGAAATGAAGTGAAATCCACAGTTCTATGTAACTTGCCCTTTCTGTCGGTAATGCCACATGTTCAGATGGGCAAATTGTTAAGAGTTCTTCAGCACCATCACTGCAGTGGTTCATCGGCATCCTTACCAGTGATATTTGATGTTCATATCCCCAATTTTAAGGTTTAGTGAATGATAATAATCCTATCTGATTTTTTTTTTTTGTATGTCATCAGAGTCTGGAACAGAAAGAACTCCATAAATGCAATTGCTTTGTCCCAGAGAAATCTGGAGCCTGAGGCCTCAATAAGCCTTAATGGGCCCCCACTTTTCTGCATCATTACATGGTTCTGCTGGCATCTCCAAAGGCCAATGCTTGAGACAAACACAGATGTGTGCCAATTAATGACCATCATAATAGGAGGACTATTATGTCAGGTTTGGGGCTTTGTGGAATTATTTTGCAGTAATTAGTAATTATGCCCTTTACCTAAGCTTATGTAATGATTGATTGTCACCATGTTCTGTACTTTAGAAAAAAGTGGTAAGATATAAAATTGCAGGAAAAATATAAACAGCTCACTTTATTTGTTAGGCATCTACTAGAATATTTGTTTGACCAGTTATTCCAATACCAATGATTGTGTCTAATCTGCACAAGTCGAGGAAGTAGTAACTACTGTTCCCACTTCACTGACAAACAGAGAGACACCAGGATCCACAGAGGCCCCAAAAGCAAGCACGAATCAGGCCTTCCCACCATCCAAGTCAGGGATTCTGACTGATTTTGAGTTGGATATTGTTTATTTGTTTTACCTTATTCTTTCTGTTTTTGAGTTTCAAGAGACAGAAAAAAAAAAAATGTCCTTGGCAAGCCCTACAGAAAGCAGCTGATAATTAATTCTTGGCTTGGAGGAACATTGTCAAGACCATTAACAAATTTTCTTCTTTCATGAAAATAGACTAACTGCTAATTTCTATTTTTACCAAAATATCATTTCCTCCCAGCAGTTGGTGCTTTATATCTTTAGTTACATAAGTGTCCCCTTGCATTGGGTTTCCCTTGGCTTTGTACCATCACAGCATGAGGCTAGGCTGAGTATGAGCCAGAGTGTTATACACTTACCCGTGATATTGCAGTACACTTGGAGAGGCCCCAGGGGCCCGCTGCCATCTGAGTCAATGTAGAAGAAACCAGCTGTGTTCCCGTGGTGCCTGTAGACCTCACAGGACTGTTCATAGAGGGCTGAAAAGACACAAAAGCAGCAGAGAAGAAACTTTGCTTGGTTCTGCATATTCCTTTAAAGAATACCTCCTACTTAGATTCATTTTCAATGTTGATTTCTCCCCTTTTCACGTAGTTTTCTATGCCAAGCCAAGAATTAAACTAATAAACCAAAATCTTTTTTGTTTGTTTGTTTAATGCATTATTTGGAGAAGTGTATATTTCCACTGTCCATTATTGATTGGTTTATTTATTTGATTTTTTACTTATTTTCATCAAAAAAGTATTTTTAAATAATACAATAGTTTATTTTTACATCATTTTGTGCATTTTTCCATCTCAGTTGCAATCCCCTAGGGTTTCCCATCACCAAGTCACCCATGTCCCATTACCATAGTCCAGTTCACTTCCCTCCCCCCTACTGTTTTTGATCCCATTCCGCAGTCCACCCCCATAAAATGTCTGGTATATAGCTACTCATTGTCATTATTATTTTCTCGCTTGGTCCATTATACTCCTGCTATGAGCGAAACCATCCAGTATTTTTCTTTTTCTTTCTGGCTTATCTCACTAAGCATGATCTTCTCCAGCTCCATCCATGTTGCTGCAAAAGACATGTGTTTCTTTTCTTTTGTGGTTGCTAAGTAATATTTGGTTGCTGTGTATATGTACCACATCTTTTTAATCCAGTCAAACACTTTTGGGCATTTGGGTTGTTTCCATGTCTTTCCAATGGTAAATAAGCAGCAATAAACATGGGGGTGCATGTATCTTTTTGAATCAGTGCTTTTGTGTCTTTTGGGTAGATACCTAAGAGTGGGATTGCTGGGTCATATGGAAGCTCCATGTTTAGCTGTTTGAGGAACCTCCAAACAGTTTTCGATAGTGGTTGTACTAATTTGCATTCCCACCAGCAGTGCAGGAGAGTTCCTTTTTCTCCACATCCTTGCCAACATTTGTTGTTGCTAGTTGTTTTAACATGTGCCAGTCTCACTGGGGTTAGGTGGTATCTTATTGTGTTTTTAATTTGCATCTCCTTTATTACAAGTGATGTTGAACATTGTTTCATATGCTTGTTAGCCATCAGCATTTTCTCTTTGGAGAATTGTCTTTTAAGCTCTTCTGCCCATTTTTTGATGCCCAATTTTTGTTCACTTATGTTAAGTTTTATCAGTTCTCCATAAACCTTTGTGATCAATATTTTATCACTCATTTTGTGTAAGAAAAAATTTTCCCAATCAGTGGGATGACTGTTTGTCTTTTGTACTATTTCTTTTGCTGTACAGAAGCTCTTTAACTTGATGTCGTCCCATCTATTTATCCTTGCCTTCACTATCGTTGCATTGGGTGCTCTATCTTTAAAGATGCAGCTGAAGTGTATGTTGTGTAGACTTTGGCCCATCTTTGCTTCCAGGTATTTTATGGTTTCCATTCTTATGTCTAGATCTTTAATCCACTTTGAGTTGATTTTTGTGTATGGTGTGAGGTAGTGATCTAGTTTGAATTCTTTGCATGTAGCTTCCCAGTTTTCCCAGTACCATTCGCTGAACAAACTTTCTTTGTTCCATTCTATCTTCTTTGCTCCTTTGTCAAAAATTAGCTGTCCATAAACCTGTGGGTTTATACCTGGGTTTTCTATTCAAATCCACTGGTCTGTATGTCTATTATTGGTCCAGTATCATTCAGTTTTGATTACTATGGCTATGTAGTATAGCTTGAAGTTTGGGATTGTAGTGTCTCCATTCTGTTTTATCTTAGTCATGAAAGTTTTGGCTATCCAAGGTCTTTTGTTGTTCTGTATGAATCTCATCAATATATTTTTTTCTATTTCTTTGAAGAATGTCATTGAGATTTTTATTGGGATGGCATTAAATCTGTATATTGCTTTTGGCAGGATGGCTATTTTGATGATGTTAATTCTCCC